GGTTAGGAAACTATCCCACTATATGACTGAAATACTGTTGGAAAAAGGCGTAAATTGAAACAAACAAATCAATAAATTTAGTATTGACCTTACACTCATTCAATATCCTCTATTTTCTATTTTTGACGTCATATATGACGTCATATGGTAAGGAAGTTGTGTGAAGCATATATATATATAAAGAATAAAGATAAATAAATAAACCAATCCATGATTTACTAAGAGTAAATCATAAATAAATAAGTCATAATAAGTCTTTAAAAAAAACAAAGTTAAAAAATGCTAAGGAAGAATATAGACTATCAATAGAAAGGGTAGAAATCCATATATCGGTAAAAGTAAAGTTAACATCTATGTTTTTCACCATTTTAATTTTGCTTATATTGAATTATGCTTGGGGCTAAGACAGTTAACAGGATTGATTAAGTCTGTTCATATAACAAAATGGACTAATGGTTACTGGAGTACACTATGCCCACAGACGAGACTTCAGATGTATAGAATTTCTATCAGGACTAAATAATGCGACATCATTAAAAGGAAATCTTATTTTATATTTTTTTTATTTATTCATACTTTACTGTATGTTAATGTCATGCAGTTACATTCACTTTCCTAGCTTATCTATTAGTGGTACGTGTTTAAATTCCTTGAGATACTCTTCTAAATACAATAAGATTAGGCTTAGCCTAGTGTTTCAATTCATAGGTCGATCCATAAAAGAGATACTTGCTCATTTGAGTATCTCCTATTTGCTGAACTGAACAACCAGCCGTTAACTTTCCAAAATTGGAACGTCAATTATTTTAAAAGATCAAAGTAATTTAACTTTCAATTGAAGTTCCTGTTGCATCTCAGTATCCAGATTATTTCCGATTCATCGGGTCATTCTTTTTTTCAACCGCTTTTAGTTTTGAAAGAAGATAAGCGCTCTCGTTTAGGCATGGGATATGCTTAAGAGTCAATTTAAGTGATAAAAAGTAATTTCAAAAACAGTTTCGATTGTTCTTATAAGCATGCATGCTCAGCTTCTATTAATATACAAAGAAAAAAGTTTGTAGATAATTAATGATCAAGTATGTTTCAGTATCCTAAAATCATTGATTCTAAGAGGTGAATGTACATTGTTGAGTACAATACGGAATTATGCTGCATAGGTGTCGAAACTATATTGGACGAGGTGCTAGTCGAGTCTGATATAAGTTTGTAGCTGTAGAATCATTCTCGTGTCTAATGACCTCTTTATTTTACACCACAATATTTTGGCATTTTGACAGAACTTTGTTCAATTACAAGAAGGATTTGATATGGATTTTAGACTGCAAAAATTTAATTGAAGCTATATGGGATGTGATATGGAATGACTTTTGGACTCTCAAAAATGAAAACGGTGTGAAATAAATCAGACAGATCGCAGTGTTTTCAATGTTAAATACTTAGGGAATATTATTTCTTACGAACAGACCCAGAGTGTCTTTTTATTTTTTGTTGAAATCGTTTGGGGATATTTCCCTGTAAAGGTTGTAAGAACACGTCATATTTATGATAAGATTAGGTTTTAAAAATTTAAAAGGACAATTCCGGGTGCATATTACAATCAACTTTGTAAAGTTTAAAAATCTTTTCTTATTTATTAAATTCAAAAACTTATTTTGTTCATCTATTGATTTATTTCCTAACTTTAAAGTTTCAATGATAATTACGTTCATAATATAATGCAAAGAACACCCACTGCTACCAATATCTGACTATTTGTCTAAATAAAGCTGATGAAATCATTGCCTGATATATTCTATATTTGTATTTATTTGTGCACATAGGAGTCTCCCATGGATTCCCAGACTTGTGCAAGCGATCATATTGACATTGATATGATATCAATGCCAATAATCTGGAAATGGGAACATTCAGCTATTCAAGATGACTCACTACTCTGCATGCAGCCGATAATCCTGTTGGAAATCTTACATTGCTCATATATTTTGGACAGTTTACAAATATGGTAAAATGTTAGCAAACGCATGTAAGAGTTCTGCTTAAATGATAGGACGATAAATGCGTAGGCGGCAGAAGATATATTTACGACAAAGGCACTATAAATGCGCCTACGTGCACAAAAACATTAAAACTCAATTATTTTCACATTTCCCAATCATCCATATAATTCCCATGTAGTGTGAATTAACGTTCTCTAAATAGCCTATTTAGGCCCCCCTAGATACATTTTTTTTTAATTTTCAAAAGCTTTTTATGTCCGATGTACTGTTACAGTTTCCAAACTTGTACTGTACTAGTACTCATTGGCTATTTGTCCGGACACTGTTTTGACTCTTTTGCGTTTTAGCCGTTCACAAATTCATACTGAATTATTATTTTGTATGAAAGTCAAATTGCTACAACTGTGTTTTAACTTAGCTTCTGAAAAACTATTCACATACAGCACAGTTGTTCATGTGATAAGCAACAAACATTTTCTCAATCGGATGAAACTATATAAAAAATACTTTCAAAAACTTTTTAATTTTGATTTCCTCTTAGAATATCTGGAAAGGTGCTCAATTAAATCAGTAATGAAAATACTCAAAGGCACATCAAGCCTTAGAAAAGGCTATAATTTTATTCTCAAGTACAGGCAATCATTTCTTTATAATATTAATATAACTTTAATGCTACAATGCTAATCGTTATACAAATGTATATAAGTTAGTAGTCATACTGACGTATATTTAAATGATAAACATAGTTTCGCTGTTATTATTAAAACGGCTCTGTGTTGGTATTTTATTATCAAATAAAACAAGGGTTTATGATAAACGTTATTTAAAAAAAATGGTTGTCCCAAATTTTGGATTTTGGTCAATACAAAACGCTGGTAAAGAAAGCATTTTGATATATGAATTCAATTTTTTGTTTAACTGTAATTATTATCATGACTCAAATATTGCGTATATACTTATGAAATATTAAACTCAAACATATTAACAAATTTGATATCATCATGTTCACTGAAAATGGAAAAAAATAATTATTGTCTTAATGATTAATGATCAATGATTTATATGATTCATTCGAAATACGGAAACGTGACGTACATGATTGTACTTTATCGTATTAATGCAAATCGTGTAATTGTTTGATTTTGTTTATGAACATGCTATACGTTTTTTGCACTGATGTTATTGTATTGTATTTTTTGCATGGACATTATTTTGAAGTATTTGTATGTATGTATTAATTTACTTAACTCTCAAGTTGCAATAATTGTTTATTTATCAATTCTCTCTCATCAAATGATATGGAAAGGGAGAGAGTAAATCTTCAGTTTACTTCCATATTGCGACAGAGTTGCCCCCTTTCTGATTTGAATAAATAATTTTACATTGCAAAAAATATACACACTTTGTTTGGAAAATCAAATTATGATTATAAATCCTATACTTGTTAAAAGTTATAAATACTACACAATCTTTAAACAGTACCATTTTTCTGATTTGTTTGTTTAACTGTTTTGTTCTTCATTGAGAAAGCTATGGACACTCGAGATATATTTATAATGTTGCGTCATAAGTTTTTCTTCTCCTCCATCTTCAAAAAAAAAATCTTCATATTCATGATTTAAATTGACAAAATTCATTTCAGTATGTAAAAAGTAAAATTTCATTTCCTTTAGAAGTCTGTCAGTTATCTTAAAATATATCTAGTGCAGTTATGTTAAACCAGGAGTACATATTTTTACTTTAGGCATTGAAAGTCACATTTGAAATACCACATAAAACATTTGATCTCATAAATATTCATTTCCGCCTTAGTATCATTGCATATGAATTCAATTGATCAATTTCTACAATCGGTTGAAACATATCTATTCTATATAATTACATTTTGTATTATGAACAAAAATTAAACAATACATTTTGGGATAAGGCAGCAAATTATGAAATTTCTACACATTTAGTGATGGCTGTGACTTTTTCTCCATCTACATTATCTTAAAAATGATTTTTATATCAAAACTATTATCTCTAATTAGTAATTTGTTGTGATTGTTACCAAGGTAAATCACTAGGCTTTGTTTGACATCATTTTATTCTGAAGTCCTTTAAGGCAAAAAAATGGCATAATGTTGTCTTACATTTATTTTGTAACTTAAATATTTAAACTGAGCAAATGTGAAAATTTACGCTATATTCTAAACTTTTAATGCCAACGGCAATTGTTTTATTTTTCACACATAGTTTCCGCTTGCTAATGTTTTCCGCGTTATGTAATTTATACAATTGTGTACGTAATAGTACAAGAAAATACTATCTTTCAATTTTGTAAAAATAAGAATGTATTATACTCACAAGAATCCCAATTGCTTTTGTTATAAAATGTACTTTCTACGGAATTAAGAATGTTTATATATTTAATATCAAATTCTTAATATTAAATTAAATTAAATGGTGCAATAGTGTTACTTAAATAACATAAAGAAACATTTTTGATTGTTGTTTTTTATGCAATTGCTTTTGTAATATGACATGTGTCATAATATGACTTTTGGTAAATATCTAAACAGGTATGTACTCTGGTATAATATAATGTAGGCACCAATCTAGATTTTTAACGACTAGTTTTGTTATGGAACAAGCATTATTTGCTTATAATTATTAAACACTATTTGAATCGAAAAAGTTTATTTAAGGGCAAATTTCTATCAGATGAAACATTGCTATTCATACAACAGCAAGTTTTAGTGTGTAAGCAGTTTGGTTAATATATGACATTGATTTATTGTGGAAAAAGTACCAAACGGTTAATGACAAATATTTAAATTGTAAGCAGGAATAAAATTATTCTGTACAGTTTCATAACAATCTTTTATTCAATTAAATATTTCAATTTTTTTGTTAAATACAAAATTGTACTTTGTCACCATAGTTACCAATTTACAAAACAGTATGCTGTTGTTATATGGCCATGTCTACAGCAATTATATTGTAAGGACTAGGTCAAAACTATCCCGAAACTCCTTTTTCAAAGGCATCTGTTCCTGGTACGGGGCATGCTAAATAGTAAATAAAAACCTAAGATGTAGTAATGTTTTTTTTCACTTGAAACTTTTATAGCAAGCACTTGGTAAATATTTTATAAAAACGTCTTACTTTTTATAATAAAATATGTAATATAAGACTGCTGGACCGCTGACTTGAAATAAACTCTTTGCTAATAAAATCGTATTTGTAATTTATATACATGTATTCATATGAAACAGAAGTCATAAAACCTGAATTTCTCCACGTGTAATATATCTGCGGCTGTGTATCGTCAACAAACAATTGTCCTAAACAGTTTTTGAGGTCGTCTTCAATCTGGGACCAAGGGATGTCATTCAACCTGATTGGTCCTTCTCGGATACCTTCGTTATTAGTTGGAGTATCACGTTGATCCTTTGACAACAAAATGATAAACTTGATTTTGTTTTGTATATTTGAATGACAATTCGTAAATTCTCACATCCATGAGTTAATACAGCAACGGTTGCTCCAGCCAAATAATGTTAAAACAAAAATAGTGTTTAGATAGATTCTCATCGGTAAAAATAAAAAATAAAAATGCATAATAAAACAGGTAGTTCATGGACCGGATTATGGAGTACAAATATCTTTAGGCAAAAAGGAATGCTTTCATTAAATCAAATAAAAAAACAGCTAACTCTAGTTACATAGGTTACCGGTTTTCAAGATCTAAAACTGATCCCGGCCTATGTTCTACTATCTTACTTAAAAAAACAACGTTCTTTTATCCCCTTTAGATTGAAGACCAATATAAAGTGAGCAACAATATGTCTTAGTAAAAGTATCTCAATAAATGGCCTTCCCAAAATATTTGACTAAGTATATTTAGCAACACGTCTCTCAGTACATTAAAGGACAAATATATATTTGATATTAAGCAAATAACCTTCTTTTATCCTCGTCAGTTTGAAGACCAATATTATGACACCGTCTATGTATTTGTAAAAGTGTCTCAATAAATGGCCTTACCAAAATATTTGACTAAGTAGATTTAGCAACACATAACTCAGTTTACTCACTCGTATTTGAAGACAGATATATCTGTATCATGTTAAAGAAATTCTTGAGAGTCATAAGTTGGCATTTTTAACTTTTCTTGCTTTTTAAAGTTTATTTTTGTAATGTAATTAGTTGGAAAAGATTACATATACTAATAGATATGCTCACAAAAATACAGGGAAGTAAAATGTCTTATAAAGCTTTCGTTATTATGTTACATGCAGATTAAATATTTTTAGAAAACAATACAACTTGTTACCAAAACTGTTTACCTACGACTTAAAGAAGGACTTTTCTTTTTCATCTTTTTTATTAAAAATTACCTTCGTTTTAAATACAAACTCCAGTGCTTCACTTTATAATATAATGAATGTGTTCACTTTGTATTTTTGTACATTCATAGTTTACAATCAATCGTTTAATCGTTACTATAAATTTGTGCAGACGAGATGTAAATAAATACCTTGGTCATTATATGTGTAAGAGTACTTGGACATCTCCCGTTTTCTATTCTCTGTGATTCAAAGCAAACGTGAATGATGACAAATTTCTCTGGATCAGAGCTCACAAAGTACACAATCATATTGTCTTAAAATATAAAGATGAATATTCAAATGAAAATTTTAAAGATGTTAATGAAAAGTTTGAGCTTAGCTAAGCTAGTTTTCGTGATAAATCAAGACTTTATTACAAAAATAGGCCTGCAAAATCAACCCAAGAATGTAAAATGTTTCTAGAAATAGCGTAATTATGTATCAGAACAATACCAAGTTTTACAATGAATTAAAGCTCAATAATACCTTCTTTCCTGAAAACTATCAACAAAAACAAATTTTATAGTTATTTTGAATATCGAAAAATACCATCTAGATAAAGAAGTGAAATGGTGAAAAACATTTTCGACCTTATACTGTGTTTCGTCACTTATCTACGCCTCAAAATTTGTTTCAAAGCGATAATATATAAGTATATGTACCTCCAAGAGGACCCTTAAGTATGACACGTGCATTGTCAATTCGAGCGAATAACCCATCAAGGAATACACATCGGTTTGCAGCGGTATTCCTGAAATGATAATACTAACAGAAAATGTTGGCAACTGTTACAATCATTTGATTTTCCCTCAGTTCTGAAATTGTTAGATGGTAATAGTTAAAACCTCGTTATCATAGATGTGACTTAACGAATATAAGAACAATGACAGCAAAGCTTTGCATTTGAATCAAGACGTTTGACATTTATTCCTATTCATATTTGGAAATACTACAAAGGTAACAATCTGTTTGTTACAATCGAGCATACAATATAGTATACATGGACTTTGGTGCGGCAAACGTTCTTCTAAAATTCAAAATTAAACAAACATTTTTATAGTTATACTATTATATACCATTGTATTATTAATTATTATATTATATTATAATATATTATATTTAAATTTACCAAGTACTTCCTCTTCTCCTGACATATGTATCATTTACTGAAGTCCAAAGTGCAGATAGCTTAAAAGATGTCCCTGGGACAACAGAATCGTCATTGTTTATTCCATAGATGTCTACTAAATCTCGCCCATCAATCTTTTCACCAGAATGAAAAATAAGCTTAACATACAATATTTTATGATACAACGATACGTACTAACACTTATAAAGTCTATGTAAAATGCATTATCTACAGTAAATAAAAGAATAAAAACATAGTTTGATTTCACATGAAAGTGTAAATTTAATACAACTTTTAAAGGAAAAGTTATTTTGATCACAAAGCTATATATTTGAATTGTTTTTATATCATCAATTCATAGTCTTTTATATTATCAATTCTATAAAACGTTGCTTTAAATCATATACATAGAGAATTTCAGAAATTCAAATTGATTTTTTAATCCAGCTGATGAATGAAAAAATGATAAAGAAATTAGAAACAATGCAGTCAATATACCTAGAAATATAGATTAAGATTTCGTTATACATCTATATCAAGAATACAAAAAATCCTTAAAAAAACGATACTAATAAAATTTAACAAAATTTACGTTACATGTTGTTTGAAATTGTCCCACGAAATGACACACTCATGTGATGGAACTTTAACACCTTTCTCTGCTGCTTGGACATCTTCCTCTTTATTAGGTTTAAGTATTTCTGGTGTGGTGCCTTTACTTACTGGCGTTGTAGTAGGTGAGTAGAAATTGTGATGTGAAAGAAAACGAGGGTAGAAGAGTCTTGGGCTTCTCATTCTAAAAGTTGCACCATAACAACATGCTTGTGAAAATAGTAGTATGAAACAAACCGCCGACCTGTTGGGTAAATAATTCTAGATATAAAAATATACTAAAAAAGCACTTAGCTGATAAAGATCTCGAACATGCTAATAATGAACATAAGATAACGAAGATTCACTTTGAATGTTTTCATAAACATTATAAGAGAAATAATTGCTTCCGTTCACTATTTCTTATACTAGCTTTAGAAGGATTTAATATTCAGAAAAGATATATGAACCATTTATTAAATTGCAATAAAATTGAAACCAAGACTTCTCTCAGAGAAGTCACTATCTTATTTACCTCTGATAAAACAAATAAAACAATATTTAAACAAGTTCGATTTATAATTGACCAAAGAAGAGATGGATTAAAGAAGTTGGACCACTTTAGCATTTATGTACATATTTACAAAAATCATAAAATTGTAATTTACAGATTGAATCGAACGAACAGTTCCACTAGTTTACCATATGCGTTTACCATAACACTGGTAAATACATTGGTATATCAGTTTGACAATGCTTGAACAGTTGAAATTATAATTTGAAAAATGATGGTTACAACTTCAGAGCAAAATGATTTTAAACATTTTTCAACATTTACTGATATAACTCAGTTCAAGCTTCTGGACTCGACATTAATTTATATTCCGTCTTTGATTAACATTAGAATGACGACATTCTGACCTGAGCTCACGGTCTTTTAAAAATGCAATGTTGAGATAAAACAAAATACAGAATAATTTTATTCTGAACCAATTTTCTAATTATAATTAGTCTGATTTACTAAAATGTTTGACGTATATTTTCGAAAAATGAATACAACAGCACCACTAAAATGATGAATTGATTACATATTTTATACGTATAAGTACATCATATTCTTTGATATTTTACTTTCACTTTGTTATTTGCCACTTTGTTTATAAAATTAATAATCAATTATAGTTAAAACCTAGCAATATTATCAAATACTTACCCTAATGAACATACGATTTATATTAGAAAAAGTAAATTAATTAAAACATTTAGCAACAATAAAATATACTTACATATTACTATGAAGATTCATTCCAAGCTTTTATTAGCTAGTTTCGTTTAAGAAAATTTACAACTACGAAATAAAGGCAAACACTTTAACCTACTTATTTTTCAAAACCGCATTTTTTATTTTTTGTACTCTCCCACTTTTACATTTGATTGTACTGTCCCACTTTTACATTTGAAAGTCAAATACTTTTAAGGAAAGCTACTTGTCAATCGGTAGCTTCTTTATTTTTTTTTTTTTATTTATTTATTTATTTATTTTTTGGTATTTTGAGTCATTTCTAAAAGGCCCAATTTATGAAGTTGGTGATTGTTATATTTATTAAGGCCAACCATGTAATTATTTAATAATTTTTGTGAGGAATATCGTTCAAATCTAGTCAATTATACATTTTATATTGTTGCGCTCTGGCCGGCTTAAGTATCTCTTAGTTGGTTTCAAAGGGATCTGCTCAAGTTATTTCTGGACAAAGTCGGGGGAGGGGTGGTAGTGTGGCTTTAATACGGCTAAGCTTAATCGGAAGTTTCTAACTTAAGGGTTAAGTTACCTATACCTTCACTTAAACTATTTCTTTTATAAGAAACACTAAGATTTAGTAATTTTTAATGTTATTATTTCTTCAGTATTTATCTAAATTATCATATGAGAAATAAATCCTATCAAAAAGTCAGCAAAACACATATGACATAAGCAAAATCCAAACACTAATTTAAGCAGTGCAGTATTTAAAATTTATCTGTGTTAAATTAGCTTAATGTAATTAAGCTCAAAATTGAGAACATATATGTCAGCAAGCCTTAGTTTAAACAATAAATTCCTTACTTCAAAATGAAAACTTTTACTTTTAAATGACTGATAAAAGATTTTTTTATAAATGCAAAAGAGAAAAAAAACACATTAAAATAGTGAAAAACAGAATCCCTAAAGAAGGTCAAGTACGGCAAAATTGTAAAATGTTTCAGGCTCGGTTTGATTCAGCCTGTTCATGGACGGTTATTGAAATTGCAAGTTACTGTCCACGCCCCTTAGCACCGGCTTAAGCAGAATTCAACATTTAAACACAAAAATGGTGAATTTTTTAATTTAGAAGCATCCGCAGATGTGTTCATACGGCGGCTATCATGGAACCTTCAATGTGACACAGTAGTGTCATTCCACAAAAAGCGGCATATATTCCCAAGTAAAAGAATGTGTGTGCCCTAAACGAGAAATTAATGAGCGGAACTAAATAAAATGGAATTTTGAAAGGGGATCAGAGGGAATGAAGCCTGCATATCAGAGATAAGACGTCAAAAGACAAATTTAAAAAGCAGGCAACATATCCTAAGGGTGATTATACAGTATTTATGTAGGAATACTGGAACCACTCAAAATGAAAAAGGCCAGATACAAGAAACTAAAAATACTATGTAAAATATATACACAACAATAATGTCGTGATGAACGATCTTCAATGATCAAAAATATAACATCGTTGATTAAATGTACGGGGAGACTTTTAACAGCCGCCACACGGCTCAAATAACACGGATGTGACAATAAAATAGTGAAAAACAGAATCCCTAAAGAAGGCCCAACACGGCAAAATTGTAAAATTAATTTAAGTCAATAAAGTTGACTTACAATTGCAGAAAAATTTACTTTCAAAACCCAAGTTGAAGCTCAAAATCTCGGCTGATTTTACAGAAGCTTATATACTCCTCAGCTGCATACTAAAATGATGTGTGCACACACAGTTTGACTGTGTGCACTCAATGGAACTCTGAACACAACCTAGAATTTTTGTGCAAAATGTACAATAAAACATGGCTGCCTGCTAAGAGGGATGCGCTTTACAAGCAGTTAAAGTTTGTACTTAGGATGAAACAATACTGTTAAGACATTATTAGTTCAGATGAATGCAAAAGTGAGTGTAAAAATGATTTCTTTAAAATTGTATGATGACACTCCCTGTACTTGCTAAAATCTTGACAAAAAACATGTGTTGGCATAGTTCTAAAAATAGCTTGTTTACAAAGAATAAATACGGGATGTATCAATATCTGGTGTATTCGCTATAAATCTCTTGTAATAGAAAACTATCACCGAAAACGTGGATAACTATTCAAGTCTATGTATGTAAAATACATTCTGTAACATAAAAGGAAACTTTGCTTTCCCCAAAGTATAATACTTTATTATGACGGTTTATCAACATTTTAAACTGTTAGAATTTTTCCTTATAGATTATAGTATTGAGGTTATTTTAGGTGTATTGATTCAATTATTTTGAAATAAGATTATATGTTTCAATTAATCAAAACTGATGAAACCTAAACTATGTATTTTCACTTTATTGCAGCAGGTTTTAAATGAAACATATCTAGATATTAAATTTTAAAGGCAAGTTAAAACTGTGGACATGGATGAAACAAGACTGGTATACATGAAGTTGTTTGTTGCGACAATGCTACTTCTGTTATGCCCTCATATGGACAATCTTTAATATCTTTAATTGACAGTCTGATCTGGGTTGATCGGCTGATACAAAGTTGCATGTTTTGCGTAACAATACTGTAAAGTAGATATTCAAAAGAAGAATTATCAATGTTATAAATTGCAAAAGCTCTTTTATGATTACCACAGCTTTTTGAAATTGCAGAAGTTTAACAGCTCCTCAATAGTAATGATGAGAAGAACACATTTTCCTACTCTCTGGAAAAAGATCAGTTTCTTGCAAACGTGAAAGCTTTTAGTACTGGTTAATAAATTGACAGCCTCCCCAGCAACGATGGGGTGGCTCTGATGAATTCAAAGTGGCTTACTGCTGTGATCCAGAGGGTAGACTGATTTTGACGGTAGACTACACCACCACTTAATAATAAAGTGATAACGACCCTTGAAATATTGTTTTAAAAACTAGAAAATCTGAATAATAGCTGTTATATATTAAACATTTGATAAAATTCAACATTTGTCTGCTCAGATAGTTTATAGTTGTAATATGCTATGTGCATCTTCCTTAATGTGTACTGTTGTATAATCACGTGCAATAAGTAATGCATTACATAATTCATCAATTAACAAATATTATTATTCATGAATCAAATACAGAAAATTATTTCTACCGTTTTTGTACATTCAAGTTCTTCTCTTAATATAAACAGCGATTTATACGTCTTCGTCCTCGCCTGATCATTGATTTAAAACTAGTCTTCTTCCTTTTGTTTCTTTAACAAATCTTAATTACGAGGAATTATCTATTAAAGAGATAAAATGCTTGTAGCAAGAATCTAACGGAGACATCGTGAGAAAATCAAAGTACTTTGTGGAAAAGATAAAGTAGTTGTATGAATGAAACCCTGAATGATGAATTATTTTAATGTGATTACTTATTTACATAGGTCTTGGGTCAACGAGTCATAAAAAACAGTTGATATCGATACACCTCAACTCAAATAGATAAATATCTGGAAAAAGTGATCCCTCGAAAACATTAAAAACAGCAAAATTACATCTTTACATGAAGGATTATGAAAAAGTGCGACATCCTTCAAGCCCCCTAACACCAGCTTGAGCGGTGAAAACTTTGACTTTGCAAAGATTTTGTAAAAGAAAAAGCCTGACAGGAGTATACGTATTTCTTTGTCTTATCGTACATTGAATATTTCATCCATACAATCAAAAGAAAAAAATATTTATAATCGGTTTATTTCCTTGCATGACATTGACGTCGTTGTCATACTATGATCATTTTTAATTCAACCTAACAATATAGAGGCGTATTCACAGTATTAATATGTGAGTAAATGTTACGAGTATAATTGTATATTCATATTTGTAACCAAGAGACTAATTTGTTTTTAATCATTTGCTGTATTTTCTGACACTTCTTTAATATACAGAGTGGACTCTCGCCGAATTTGGAATGTAGCTTAGTAAGTTATATTCTATCAAGTAATGAAGTAAAGCTTCCGAAATGCCAAGACTTTGTCTAAATACAAACAAAGACGTTTCTCAAGGCATAGCATTGTTTCGTGTGATGTATTTATATATATATGTATTTTGTTTCATTTCAAGAGGAATCTTTGTAAAAACTTCAAATATTGTCGAATGTTTGCATGTGCTTAGCTACAAAACGTTTTGGTAAGGCTAACAAGTTGAGAAATAACTCTGACTAGTCAGAAAACAAAACAACGACAAATGTGTTTGAATTTTATTCGTTCTTAGTCAAGGTAAAATGCTATACAAAATTTGACTTTACGATGATCGAAACTCAAAAGGTAAGAATGACAAGCTGAGATGTAGTGCTGTTGTTAAGTTTCTGACTACAGAAATTAATTGTGCGAATACAAAATTATTTAAGTGTTGGTTCAAAACTCAATTACATCATGGTTCCTTCTTCAAACTGTCGTGTGAGTGGTTTCGGACAATCTACAATGAAAATATATATGATTAAATAGATATATAAAAAATAAATCGCTTGCATTTTTTCAGTTCCTTTTACGTACCGTACGAGGTTAATGTAGCCATTTATGTCAAGTGTTTGTGTATACGTATTGTACATATCAAACCACTTAAAATCGAAACAAGGTTGATCGTATGCAGATGGAAAATGTTAGCATGTTTACTGCAAAAATAAAACTGACAGTCTGTTGTCTATTATTCGCATAAATAAAAGGGAAGCGGGGGCCTAGTGGTTAACGTGTTTGCCTTTACTTCAGGTTACCTCAGGGATGATGGGTTTGAACCCATTTTTCCTTATATAGCACCAGTGTGATTCAGATAAATTGCAGAAACCAAAAATTTCATATCTTTCCGGATACTGCTTGAAGTGTTAAATTCTTCATATCTAGCTGGTTGCTTAGACGGTACCATGCGTTAAACACTGCCGCCAACAGAAATCCCAAATCACACAAGCCTGCAACATTTCATAGTTTTGGCGACCTTCCAACTTAAGCGTTTTTAAATTCACTCTCTATTTCACTATCTAAATGTAATCATAGTATTTATTATACTTTACAGGAGGTATCCTTACCATCTTTGTCCCAGACCCAGCTGATTTGTGGTTCCGTTTCATCCACAAACTGTTGTCCAAGACAGTTTTTGAAAGTTTCTTCAATCAGCGTCCAATGGATATCATTAAGAATTATGTCACCTCTTCTGATACCATCGTCGCCAATCTGTGTTTCTCTTTGATCCTGATTAATATAACAACAATAGTGAGCGACTTTCATTGAACGGATCCTCAACATATTTTGCTACTTAAACACCAAACAGACACGTAGGACTGGGCCATAAGACACGTAAGAACGGAGCAACAAAAGGGAGGGGAATCATATAAAGAGAAAATAGATGAAAGCACAACGTTAAATCTAGATGGAAGACGATTAAATTCTACTGAGTTCTATAATGTCAGGCAACTAACGTTGTGTTTTCACTCCATATACATATACATGTAAAAAAAACTTCCAGATATTCAAGAGAACGTAATGTAGATATTGTCACTGTAGTCGATTAGAATTAAGTGATAACAGGTTGCTGAAGTTGCATGATTTCTACAATATCATAGCTTATGCAATGACAATGTCATAAAAGTCATTTATATCTTTTTCTTTATTTCAAAAAAATGGCATTAGGTTAAAACATAAGCACGATGCATGTCAGAAGAAAATGTCGATATAACTGCAATGTTTCCAATCTGACCACCGCCTATCACAAGAAAATATGCAGCCTTATTAGATGTTATGTTAGCTCACAATGTTTTTTGAAGTATATATATAAAATAAGTTCTAAACACTGCTTGACTTTGTGGGAAAAGTTACCTTGAGCAATAGTAAGATCTCTGAGTTTGGACATCTTCCCCTTATACTTTTGTTCGTGTCGTAACAGATGTAAAAGATGACGTATCTCGATGGATCAAAACTAACAAAGTAATCAACTCTGCCTGATGTCGCGAAGAGATTGCCTGAAGAAAAAAAAGATATTAGTGTAGCATTTAATATGTTACATATAGTCTTCAACAATTAATGTCAAATGCCAGTGATAAGAAACATTTGAACAGTCACGTATACGTAATGACTGATCATGCAAGAAAAATAAACTTTATAATTTAGTACGAGACGATTCATCCTTAAATTGGTCCTTATTAGCCAGGCTATCCGATACAAATCAATCTTAATGATTATTAACGATAGTTAACAGTTATTTAAGCGATTATGTTATGTAGAACCAAAATCATTTTCGTTTTATACTTCAAACGTTATTGATGTAAGTAAATACCTCCAGCCGAGGCAAAAATTGCCTTTTCATTATCAACACGTACGAATTCACCGTCCGCAAACAAACATCTCATTTCAAAGTCGTCCCTGTAAAAGACAACCATTTGAAATTACATTCCATACAATAACATTATGATTATCAATTCTTAGTAATTAACATTTATAACAAAATTGATTGGACCTTATAGCTGTATTTTAAAGATTTATTAATAAAGCTGTTAGACAAAAGTAAATTTTCACCGTACCTTAATGATAAAAAGACAACAGTAAATTTTCACCGTACCTTAATCATAAATTAAAAACGTTGGTCATGAAATATAGCAATCATTTATCATTTGCTTAAGATCGGCATGCACTTGAACAATCAAAATGAACAAATGTCTGACAACTTGTTAACTATGAAGAATCAATAAGCTTTAAAGTTTGAATATTATTTGAAAACATTATGTATTTAAATTTCAATGATTTTCCTCAGGTTACAATATTTACCACAAACTTCCTCTCCTCCGAATGTGTGTGGAGTTGACTAAGGAAAAGACAACGCTGAACTTAAATGCTACCCCTTTGTTAATCGGATAGTCATTGTCAATAGAGTACGGGGAGTGCCAGTCCATCTCAACAACCTAGAGCAACAATTTGATTAACATCAGCAGAGCCCTAGATATTGTTGATTAGAATACTTTTTACTTCAACTATTTCGCGTATTGTGTAAAATAAGAATATTTGATACTCGAGACATTAAGCTGAATACAGTACGAGAAATAGCAACATCAAAGTACTTCTATACGATTATAAATTGAATTTAAAATGAATTAATAAGTCATTCTCAAATAAAATAGAGAAAGTCAAACATTCTGCATGTACAGATTGGCCAAAGATGAATGCAACAACTCACATGTTCAACAAACTGGTCATATGAAATAACGCATTCTTTTGGCGGAAGTCTGACACCGATTTCAGCTGCAAAGAAGTCGTCTTCATCACTGATGGGCATGCTTGCTGGAGGTGCCGTGGTCGTCGTCATAGGCATCATTGTAGTTACTCCATACCCTGGGTGATATATTGGGAGTCTATTGTGTATGCGGCCGAGCTGTAAATGATTTACTATTCCAGCGCCACTACTGTATGACAGCGAACCAAGCAGGATTAACAGCGATAACCTGTAAAACATTTTTTCTAAGTTCAGTTGAATACTTTTGTGCTGGAAACATAGTAATAACTTCACGAGAGGACCTTGCAGTACCTCCGACATAACATAGATATGAAATATATTTTTGTAAAAAAATACAATTCAATTTCTTTTATTATCACATTTCCATGCCGCTTTTGCGACATTAAAAATGGCATTGCACGGCCGTGAATATATTTTGACGTGACATCATAGTGTAAAGACAAGCTAAATGTTTGCGTTATACTGCAAGCGCGTCAATAAAAAATGTCTCTGTTTCAACGTTTTCTTTTTGGTATGTGAAGAATAGAATATTAAATTCGTGTAAGTTCTTTACTAAATTTATTGAACTCGTTGAATAAATAATATCATTCAACTTGTTCAATGAAGGGTACAATTATATAAAATTATTCAACTTGTTAAATTAAAATCAATATTGCACTTACACTCTTTCAATATCCTCTATATGCAAGTCAAGTTAGAAATTAATCATATATAAGATCATAAAAATATTTTCTATGCTCTTTTTGGGGTTTCATATGGCTCCAAAGTCACCAACGTTCTAGTTAAACGTTTTATTCGAAGCCACAATTACTATTATGCCTGTCATTAAGCTTGTTACACTTAAATAGCTAGTATTCCCCCTTTGCCGACGTATCAAGCTTGATATTCGATCAGACCGACCAAAAATTCAACCAAATACGACTTTGAAAATAATCCTCAAATCTTATTCTAATTGAACTGTGCAACGTTGCCTGCTGAGATATCATATTTTTTAATTCTTTAGAAATGTCAAAGATGTGTTTTATATTGTTTCAATAATAAATTAAGATTAAATACTGAAGGAAGTAGCGATGAACGTGCAGTTATGTGTTGTAATGGTAACGCATATGTAAACAAAGCAGTACTTTGCAGCTCAATAACTGATGAAATTTTCAATTTAATTCTTTTATACTTTCATTCCGTATTTACATTATATGATCACGCCGTGATTATTTGTGCCGTGTGACAAGCTAAAGTCTCGCAGCCGTCATAAAAATGTTTAGTTTCACGCTTGGATGTAGATGAAATTATTGTTGTCTTTATATTTATTGAACTGTTGATATTTCTAGTTGAGGTGGTACAATATATAAAATATAATGTTAATTAACAATCAGATATTGCCTTCCTTTTAATGTCTTTTGGCAGTCAAGTTGATTACCAGGTTCATAATAGTTTCTTAAAAAATTCTATTTTATTTGTTGCATATGTTTCCGTAGCCAACGCTTTAATACTTGACAAGCCCTTCATATGCCTGTCATTAAGGTTCCATGATAACCCCTATGATTTTTTGAAATTCATACAAAATACTTATTCATTAATTATACCAATTGTTGACAGAGCAAATGCAGGATAAGTTAGTTCAAGCATATGTTATGAAAAATTTGTATAATTTTTGAAACTGTAACATGATAACAAAAAATATAAAGATATAAAGTTTTTGACAAACAATTTTTTAGCATGTCTTGGGCATAATGATTTCATGGTTCATTAGTTTTAAATAAAGTTGTACGCTACTAGCTCTATACGAAAAAAGTGTTACATGAAAACATTTGGTGTCTTTATTTATTTTGAACTTTATTAATTAATGTTGTTTCGCGAAAATCTCTATAGCCTCGTAACGTACCACCTTGAACATTTAATGTTGGAGCTAGATAATTTTGTTATTAAAGTTGGAAAGTTACAGTTGGACTCAAATTCATGCTAATTTTCATGAAATTTTTGAAAATATTTTTGAAAAGTAAAATATTGTGAAGAGAACAAAGAAAATAATTTACATATAACAAACAGCACTTGCAATGCACGTAAATTACAAAATAAGCAAAAAAGCCCTCACTGTCTTACTGCGTTATTAACGCAGTAGAAAGAAATATGGTGATTAATACTGCAAAAACAGCCAACAAACATTACAACATTTTATTAATATTTCTCTATATTTTGAAATTTGAAAGACTTGATTAACGTCTAGCAATAAAAAATGATATACACTTCATAAACTACTAACGAAAGGAAATTTTTGATAAATTATTTTAGTTGTTGGTTTGTATCCGTCATTTATTGAAGATTATTTCCTGGTAAACTTTATCATGTAACATAAAGATATAAAACATTTATAAAAAGGATTCAAGAAAAATTAAGTATCATATTGCTGTAAACACCTTAACGCTTCAGAGTTGTTCTGTTTCCTAGTACTTGTTTTATTACCAAATTTAAACGAAGTTATATTATTTTTACAAATTAATACAGAACATAAATGCCATTTATTATATACTTATAAATGAAATATTGATAAAAAGTGATGAAATGAAATGCGTTTTTATTTTCATTTTTCACATATTTTCACTGTATTTTTTTATTTTTCACTGCAGTGAAACATACTTCTGCATTTTCACTGGTGTCTTGCAGGACTGCTTTCTTCTAAATTCAGCAAAAACACAAAATTTAAGGAGAATTCTTTCGAATTGTAATGTCAAAAAAAGAAGAAGAAAAAATATAAATAATAAACAGAAAATACAAATTGTGGTATGAAAATTATCATAATTCACTAGTGGCTACTAGTTATATTTTCATATCACTCGATAAAAATGAATCTTGTATTAAGAACTTTTTAATTTCCTGTATATTTTTAATGCAATCCATTTTTATTTATACTCTTAATCCCATTATTTTCATTTCCTTATGTATTCATTGTAACTTATTTATCTCCTTAAATTAAAATTCTAACTGTGTAAGCTATGAAAATTACAGCAAACATGAAATAAACTAAAAAAAAAACCTGTCAACTGTCCAAGCTTTTGCAAAAAAGTCCAATTCCATTACTCTCTTTCATTCCAGTTATTCCATTTTTAAAAAAATCATTATATCATAATATTATGAAATATAAAATCTTAAGGAAGCAAAATTTTAGCCTACATTTTAAGTGCGTATCCATGCGCTCTTCGTATGTAAAGAGAATAATCGCACTTGCAAATCTCGATTATAAATATATTGCATTTCCTTCAAATCCATTTCCTTAAACCCTACAGCAAAATTATCAATATTACATGTACTTTAAATATTTCTGATCTTTTTTATTTTGTCTATAATATAAATCATGACAAATCGGATGTAGTATGTGGTTTAATATATATATGTTAGCCTTCAGGATCGGCGATTGTCGACGTCTTTCGTCTTTGTTTTATGCCGTCTGCAGTTGTTTTATATAATACTCACTCTAAAACAAAATAGATGATATACCATGTAATGTGTTTTACTTGTCTTAAATAATATGGGGGGGGGGGCGTTCGTTGCCAAAATTCCAGACATGTAAAGTGTCCCTAAAAAATAACTTTTAAAAATGCGTAACTTGTATGCCTACGACTTTTATTGTATCCGTGCAAAGCACATAATATGCCTCGTAATCCAATATTTTGATTGAAGGTTCCCGCCTTTATTTTAACAAGTTTACATATAGATCGTAACAACTTACCTAACATAAAAGACAACAACACATTTACAAGTTCGTTCTTTAATTGCATTAAATACATATGCAAGTTTACATCTATCTGTACCTGAAATATACAAATGAAATGTAGAATTCGAATACAGAAAATAGAATTTAAGGAAACGTGTTTACAATTGTAGAATACAAGAGTACGTTTACACAGTAACATGGTCAATATGACAAAAATAGTTCACAAAGTTTTGCGGCCGGTGCCTCTCCCCTAAATAAAACTGAAGGAAAACACGCCGCATTCGTCCTAACATATTTGTTGTTGCATTTGTTCGAAGTTTTTTCACAAGCTACATCCCTTGTAAACTGTTTATTTTACAAGTTATTTAATACAAAATGATTAAGATAACTTATGCACTTACTTATTATTTGTATGATTGTTTTGGGACCTTTCTGTCGAAAATGTGTCAGAATTAAATCGTATACATATACATAAACAGTGCGCACACTCCAGAGAATGCCCATTGATTGACTCATTTTTGCTTGGGTTTACTTATTCTGACTGCAGAGAAAGGGAACAATATCATATTCAGATGCTCGTTCATTGGTTACTGTTTTTGGGGGTTTCATATTGTGACAACAGAGAACGTGTTTTTATGTTTGACTGTGATACAAAGAGAATGAACATCAAAACACTCGGCAATCTTATTAATACTCGAGGGCTACGCTCCCCTCGTACAAATCAGATAGACTCATGTTCCGATGCTCTTTCTGTTACTACACCTCGTATTTTCCTGAGAAACATCGGCGATTTGGAAATATTTAGGGGGAAAATGACCATCTTTTTAGCGAGTAATTTTATTCACAATCTCAAATACAGCTCAATATTTTTATTGGTATCATTGAACATTGTTTTGGCACAAATTTCATTTTAAACAACAACTATGCGAGTATTTGATAAAACAAATAGGATTTTTAAGAGCGGCCACCGAGATTTCCTTTCCGAAATCAAGAAAGTACTTATCCGTAACACATATGCGCAATCTTTAATAAGGTATTTTGAGTATAAACAAATTCTTTTTTAATATACTTGAAGCTTATGGCCTTGAAGTATCTTATAAAGTCTTATAAAGTACCAAAAGGGGGTGCCGTGATTTTCTTGCCGAATATATGATAGCGGTTTTAAAAGAGAGAAAAACAACAAGTTTGAAACAAATTGTTTAATACTTCTACGTAATTAACCTGTCTGTACATTTTCGTAACATAAGTTCGTAAATACTCAAAGAGGGGACGGGCGTCAAGCATGACTTAAAATCGTTTAACTTTGTGAATCTACTTTTGTCATATTAAACAACGTACTCTTGTAGTTCTACAACTGAAAACACGTTTTCGTAAACTCTATTTTCTGTATTCGAGTTTTACATTTCGTTTGTATTTCTTAGGTACAAATAGATATTTATAAGTGTGATAACTTGCTTATGTATTGTATGTTATGGCAGATATGAGCTTGTAAATTTGTTGTTTTCCATGTTAAGTTAGTTGTAAAGATCTACATGTAATTTTGTTAATTAAAAGCGGGTGCCTTCAATTAAAAGGCACGTTATTTGCTGTGCAGGAAAACAATGAAAAATGCTAGACATACACGTTCACATTTTCAAGTAGTTTTCAAAAGAAACACTTTACATGTCTGGAATTTTGGCAACGAATGCCCTCCATAAACTTAGGTCCTACCATATTCATAAAATGGTTCTAGTCCGTTGATATCTATGTTACAGAACCACAAAAACGATTTTAAAAGCAAACATTCTAAATATCTGAAAAATGTGATCCATCGGAAGCACTAAAATCAGCAAAATAACATGAAAACTGCGGTTTGGTTGAGTCTGTACATGAGGGATAATGAATTAGTACAACATCTCTCAACCTCCCCAGTTTCGGGGGCACATGAGGGATAATGAATTAGAACAACATCTCTCAACCTCCCCAGTTTCGGGGGCGGTACTCGATTTTCAACATTTAAAATTGCTGGAATCGCTTCAAGCGTCTGGTCTCGGTGATGACATCATAAGGTGGTTAATGTCATATCTTTCTGAGAGACAACAGATTGTTGATGTGTCAGGTAGTTTTTCTTCTATTTCTGACAAGTATAACATGTGGTGTTCCCCAGGGTTCAATCCTTGGGCCCCCCTCTTTTTAATTTTCGTCAATGACATGTCAGCGGTAGTGAAAAATAGACTATTGCTATATGCTGATGACTCTAGAATACTTGTTTGTGGAAAAAGTTTATCTGAGGTGGAAATGTCTGTACCTGAAGATTTGTCCTCAGTATTTCAATGGTTAATTTAAAATAAGTTATCGTTGCACGTAGGTAAAACTGAGTCCATTGTGGTTGGGTCTAAACAAAAACTCAGGTCACATTCCAAATTAAACATAAATTGTGTTGTTTATCATGCAACATGTTTTCCTTTATGCCGAAATAAATCTATCTATCTATCTATCAATGATCTAAGCCACAAAACGACACTGTCTGAAGTTTTTGAACATTTCCAGGGAAAGCGGAGATTTAAACTTCTGGACTTATGAACCTAACATAAAGGCCAAATCGGTCGAACAACTAGATTGTGAAATCCATGAGAAACGCTCATCACTGTGTGTGCCAATTGTCGCGCCAAAACAAAATAGTGCATTGTGAAATCAAATTAATAGTAAAACCACTGCTCACCCCGCATTGTGACGGGAAATTATGACAAAGGAGTCACTTTATTTACATTTTTAGTTTTTATTTTAAGAAAGTCTGCTCATCAGAAACCAAATATGCATTTTTCTAGATATAAAATTATGCTTTGAAAAAAAGATAAATACACAATTATTACTTTGCTTGATCTTTTTGTTTAAAAAAATATCATGTTGATATGATTTTCGCTCATGTTAAGCTTGATTTTTTGGTATTTTTTTTATAGTTTGACGGGTGTATTGTATTGGCTGTAGTTGAAGGAAAGTTTATTTTGTCACATTTGTACATTTGCAAATATAAAGACCGGTAGAAAATATATAAGAAAATGAGAGAGCATTTTAAATTATTTTCGAAAATCTGTGCCTGTCTTATGTGATAAGAATGAAGGACAAGGGTCCAGTGTCAGTCGAAATCTCAGGCTTTGGAGACAAACGACAATTCACAGCCTGAGCAAATTCTGAGCAAATTGTAAATCAGATAAGGAAAAATGATCCGGATGATATTCAGACTTGTCAGCTTCCGTTAGGAACTTATTGCTAAGTGGTTAGTGAAAATGTATCAGAAAATAGGAAATGAACCTAATCTATTTATTTAAGGTTTCCGAGCTGCAGGCATTCTTAAGACATTGGATAAATTTGTTCCTCTTAACAAGACCTCAGATTCATTGAATGTCTTTTGGGATAGGAAAGAAATAACATATTTGACAGTAATGCATATGTATGTATTCGTGCAAAGAAATATGGATATATATACATGTTGTATATATATATATTGGATATATATTTCTCAAATACTTGAAGATTTCATTGAATTTACACGATCCCGAAATGAATACAATTCAATGCACATAAATCATTTAAAAAACCTGAGTTTAAATTTTGATTCCTTCTTTTGATTCTAGTATACCTTTAATTCCTACTAAATCTGTAATGATGGGTGCCGTTATGTTAAAACAATCTTTCACATATGCATTATAAATACAGTATAACATATCCAAGAAGGCGGTGGCTAATGGGCTTATTGTGTAAATTGTAAATATTTGCAATCTATACGAGTATATCTCTCTGGTATCCTTGTTGTGCGAAGACTGGATATCCGTCTCAATCGCATATCCCAATGTTGGAGTCCGAAGTGGGTGGGGAACCCGGGAGACGAATTTTCATCTTTTTATCATGGATACACAAACAAAAAAACGAAAATCGCAAGAAGATTCAAGTTGTAACATATAAGTTGATGGAAGTTTTCCCCGTTTTCTGATTATCAAAGCAAACAGCTCCAAATCACTCACTGAACTTAGCCCCTTCATTATAGAAAAACAACTTTCGGCTTGGTCCTCCTGGGCTCCTTGCCGCTGGCGCTTGTTGCTGGGTCGGGTGGGGGCTGCGTTCATTGAATGCCGCCTTTCCTTGTCGATCTTGTTTATCATATTTTAATTGTTACGCCTAAATCTGTCAAGAAACTCCACAATGGTGGACTCTTGATAGAGGTAGAGCGGAAACAACAAGCAGATATTACTCTAAAATGTACCAACTTTTTTGGAATTGATGCAACTGTCACACCACACCAGTCTCTGAACTCCAGCGAGGGCGTTATCAAGTGTTATGATCTTGCGGGAATGACAGAGACAGATATTGCTGAAGAGTTGCTCTACCTTATGCCCTTTCCTGTTTTCTTTGGGGTCCTCCTGGGCTCCTTGCCGATGACTCTTGTTGCTGGGTCGGGTGGGGGCTGCGTTCATTGAACGCCGCCTTTCCTTGTCGATCTTGTTTATCATAATTAAAATCGCAGCAGGTGTCAAATATGAAGCGCATTTATTCTAC